TTGGAGGCTTGTTAACTTGTTTTTCCACATAAAATGGAGTAAGAGTGACCAATAAGTGAGCATATACTTAAAATGTCAACATTTCAACAGCTTTCATTCTTTTCCAGAAGATCCTAGGACGAGAGATTAAACATGCATTCCTTATGACTTGCCTGACCTGAATATTTATTTACCCTCGGCACACTGACCCTAGTTCTAAAAAGACCAGATCGCCCAAGCAACCGTGAATTACAGGACTGGGTTAACAGAGTGAGGAGAATCAGATCGACGATCCACGCCTTTACTAATATTAGAAGACTTCATATTTTTCCTGCCTGTGTAACAATCTACCAAATATGAATAACCAACCCCATGACCTCAGAGAGGGCGAGCGACCGCCGAGGTCTCCCTGGGACTCGGTGAAATGGAATGCAAGCCTGGTGTCTGGTAGACCCCAGACAAAGGAAGAGAGACATACTGGACGGGGACAGGAAGGCGTGTGTCTGCAGAGGTGGGAAATCCCAGCAGAAAGTCCGGGGGCTTCTGTGTGAGCCTGGCGGGCAAGAGCAGGAGGTGGGGGCTGCTGTGCCCAGCCCAGGCGGACGGCCGGGTGTGAGGTGCGGGGTCTCTCCTGCTCTGTGTTAGAGAACTGGAACAGAGCCAGAGGGAGGACAGCGAGAAGGGGCCCCCATCCTCCGGGCACCTGCAAGGCTCATGGCGTGAAGCAGAGGAACTGATAAAGAGGATGGCTAGGCTTGAGGGAATCGCCTTTTTTTAAACATAGAGAAGAGAGAGATAGGAGTTTATGGCCCTAGACTCTGAAAAGGGAGAAACTCGGGAGGAACAGTGGGAGCTGTGAGATAAGCTGATCCCAGAGAGGTGGGAACGGGATGGATCTAAAGGAGCTATTGTGTTTTTCAAGGCATATTTGGTTTAGAAAAGGACATGTACAAAGACAGAAGGAAGGGCACAGTACCAAGGGCAAACCGAGAAGAGGGACACATTTCTGTAAGAACAGTACTCGACTTGAGCTGAAGCTTGGGGGGGAAAAATGTCAAAGTTGACAAAAAAAAAAAAAAAGAGAGAGAGAAAAAGAAAACAAAAAGGGGGGGGTGGTAGTGGATTATTTTTATTTATGATTAAAAAAGGGATGGGGCCCATTGCTTGGGGATCATGGAGCATGTTAACAGAGGGTAGAGACGGTTAAGGTGACCCAACTCCCGTTCAGTGTCTAGCCTCTCCACAGAAGCCAAGTGGTATTAACTAGAAAGATTTAAAGAAGCATCATTAGAACAATGCTGGACATGAAGGCAGGGGATGTGGTGTGTCCTTTTAGTCAGTTTAAGTCCGAATCCCCAGGCCCTGCAGGCTCCCAGGCCAGGCCCCTGGACAAATCTACAGAGAGGCCAACAGAGACAATGTACTTGATCCCAGAAAAAACGAATGGAGACTGGGAGGGTTCCCAAAGATTGCTGTCAGCAAATGTCCCAATTTACCCAAGGGAGTGTAGGGGGAAGATATAGTTCCTACTCTGTGAACCAATACGCCTGGCAAAATTTTAATTAAAATGTAATTTAGAGGAGGTTTTTCATCTCTTTATAAGGGATGGATACTGGGAGCTAGTTTGAGAAGAATAAACCAGACTAAGTAACTCACTGGCTCCCCCCACCCCCCCGCCAATGCTACCTCAGGGCACAGAGCCAGGAGGGCCCCATTACTGTGTATCTTGAAGCCAAAAAAGAAAAAAAAAATCAGCTCTGTATCTGTTCAGTCCCTGATAACATGGGCTGCATGATGGCTGGGTTCACAGATTCCTGTGACTGGCTTTGGCCATGCTTGAGCCCGGGGTACTATCTCAGGCCTCTGAGTCTTTGTCACACAGTGTCCCTTCATGTGGAATAACCTTCCCTTTGTCTGGCTGTTTGTCCTTCAAACTCAGCTCAACTGGCACCTCCTCTGGGAAACTTTCTCTTCTGCTGAGCATGACAGTCTGTGTTCTCCCAGATCCACATGTTGGACTCTTAACACCCAGTCTGATGGTGGTAGAAGATAGTTCCTTTGGGAGGTGATTAGATCCTAAGGGTGGAGGCCTCATGAATGGGATGAGTGCTCTTATGCAAGAGACCCCACAGAGCTCCCCAGCCCCTTCTGCCAGGTGGGGACCCAAGGAGAAGTCTGTGATTGGGAAGGGGGCCCTCACCTGACCATGCCTGCACCCTCATCTGACATCCAGCTGCCAAAACAAGGAGGAGTAAATTTCTTCTGTTTAGAAGCCACCCAGTCTGCGAGGTTTTGTTATAGCAGCCCAAACGGACTCAGACCACCCCTTATCCGTGCTTGCCAAGCACTCTGGCGGCTCTGCTATCGTAGCGCTCTTTCCCTGGGTTACAACGGTCAGCTTCCTTATCTGCCTCCCCAGGGCCCGCTGCCCCCGGAGGAGTTAGTATTTCCAAAGCCCACACAGTGCCGGGGTGCACCCGGGACCCTTAAGACATGAGGACTGCTTGCAGGAGTTTAGCTGAGAGGTTCAAAGTCGACCTGAGGGGAGCTGTTGCTAATTGTGTCCTGTGGGCTTCTCCAAGTCTAGACTTTAATCAGTGACTTGGAAAAATAATAAATTTCAAGAAACCATAAAGGAGAAGAGAAAGATAATTAGATAAAAGGCTCAAGGTTCAAGATCGAACAATCTACAGGTTGGCCATAAAGCCTGAAAACATTGATAACTTTTTTTTATATAGATGGCTTTTTCTTGGTTTTTCTGTGGCATGATAAAGGCATGGATTTTTTTTTTTTTTGGTTTGGTTTGTGTTTGGAAGAAAATCAGAGACAGATTGTCCGAAGCTCAGCATCATGGATGAATATGCTGCATTGATGTGCTGCATTCATTGCAATTTTTCACAATGCTCTGAAGTATGCATCACTAATACAAGGCAATACACTGAATACACCATGTAATTTCACTAACCATACTGCACATTATAAAGGAATATCAGTAATCATTTATCGTGTATGTTTTATGTTTTCCAGACTTTATGGCTGCTCTGTAGAAAAACAGTTGACAACCAACAATGAAATTAATAACAGAAATGTCCATGAAGCTTTATATTAGGTCTAAAAAAGTCAACATAATATCTACAGCAAGGGAAATATCTGGCTTTATCCATCCATCCATCCATCTATCCAACCAGATTAAGCACTCACCATGTGATAAATACCGTGCTAGGATCTAAAAATTTAGTGGAAGATAAACACTGCCTTCCTTGAGCTCATATCCTAGTAGAGGGAAATTGTTAATAGTAAACATATTAAATCACTTCAAATGTTGATGAGGGCCATGAGTAAAATAAAACCATGTGTGATGCAGCTAAGGGACAACTGTAGATGGCAGGGGCAGGGGCGGGTAGAGGCATCTTTGAAGCTTGCAAGAAGTTTATGTAAAGAAGAGCTTGGTGGGACCTGGCTGGCCAATAGCCCGATGTGAGTCTCAGATGTGCCATGACTGTTAAAAACAAACTGCAAGCCTGGGGTGTATTAATAGAAGCCGGGTGATGAGATCAAGGGCAATGACAGCCCTACTGCCTCTGTGGCAGTTGCACCACTTCCAGACCAACTTCTGCAGTTGCAAATGCTATACCTTAAGAGAGTCATGGCGTGGAATCAGAAGAAGGGTCTAGAAACCACATCTGATGAGGACGAGGTTGAGAGAACTAGGGGAGTTGAGTCTTCAGAAGGAACTGCTAGGCAGTCTTGAAAATATCCAAAGATTCAAGACATTCCGAAGAAAAACAGTCCATGCTGATCTATTAAGAAGACAGCACAATGTTGTAGTTCAAAAGAGAGGAGAGTTTCTAATTGAATCAGAGCTACACAGAAATGGGACAGGCTTTTCAAAGGAGTGAGCACTCCTGAAGTATCCCAGCAGTGGCTGGGTAAATTCTGTTACAGACGTGGGAATTCCCATATGGGGCAGAAGATTCCCTTGGAGGGCACATCTTTGGGAATGGGGAACACTTTTATTTCTCTGAGTAGAAGATCTTTTTATCTTGAAATCAAGCAACTGCAGCGCCAAGATATTCAGGCCCCTCCTTCCTCCTAAAATCTGTTGCTTCGTCGGAAGAGTGGTCTCTCAAGGGTCAGAGATACTGATCTACCTTTAGTCACGGGTGTCTCTTGCCACTGGGGCAGAAGGACATTTTCCTGGGAGGCCTAGGTCTTTGCAGGAAGATATGGACTCTTTGCTTTCCCTGCCCTCAGCTACAGTGAAGTGATGGAGGATGGGAGCGGCTGAAGGCCGACCTTGTTACTAGAAGCGACCTCCATCAGTGGTCCTTCAGAGACTCAACCCATGGGGACCAGGAATTATGTCAAGGCTCCCAGTTACGAATCAACAAGAAACAACTGCATGATCCATTTGGTCAAGTCTCCACTGTGTGTGTGTGTGTGTGTGTGTGTGTGTGTGTGTGTGTGTGTGTGTGTGTGTGTGTTCGAACTGTGTGTGTACGTGTGTGTGTGTGTGTGTGTGTGTGTGTGTGTGTGTGTGTGTGTGTTCGAACCTGAGTCTAAGCAAAGTTCCAGCATCAGGTGACTGAACCTTGAGGCGCAGGTCTAAGGCTCTGTTCTATCAAGCAGCTCTGCACAACTTCTCTAAAGGCACAAGGCCTCTCCCTCTCTCTGGAACGTGGATTTATCTCAGGCAGACAGGTGCTCCACTTTCTGTTCCAAATGCCCTTTTTAGGCCAGGTCTTCAGAGAAAGCTTTAACTCTAAAGTGTCGCTAGCCAATTTAATTGCTCAGTGCAATCATTTTATGATTATGATTTGATAGTATATCAGTACTGTCTGGACTCATATTTGGTTTGCTGGGATGGAAACTAAATCAAAATCCATTACGATGAAGCCTTCGGGCAATGATTGACTTGAATCCCAGATCAGTGTAATTTTTATCTATTTGCCTTGTGAATAAAACATGCTTTTACAGGACAGAGGAGACCATGGGATACAAGGTCAGTGAAAAACCCATACCTGAGCCACAGACAACAAAAACAAAGAGGGCCAGCAGCCACGGTCCCACAGGGTATTTCTCTTCTTGCGGCCTCTAAAAGGGAATGGGAGGGAGAAAGCAGGATTAGGCTCATTCATTGAAGGAACTTGTACTAGGCACCACTAGTCACTGTACTGGGGGCTGGGACACCTCTGTGAAGGAGACAGAGCCAGTGTCAATGCCCGTGGGCAGATGGAGGCAAATAAAGTCAATTTTAAAGGATCAAGATAGGTTTGGAAAAATCCATCAATAACCTTATTTACACCCTGTAACTCAGTGAACTCGGTGGTCCTTAAACATTCTAGGGATGGATAATGTATAAATACATAAAGCGATATAGTGATTTTGGAGCCCAAAATGATTATACCATAATACTAGTTAATGACTGTACTATAATACTAATAATTGTTTCCACTTGCTGAAAGCACACTTCATGCCAGATGCGCTAGGAAGCAGCCTGCATCTACTGTTTCCAGCATTCACAACTCCACGCAAGGCAATCTTCATCCTGCAGTTGAGAAACTGAGGCTCAAAGTTTGCTAACTTGATTCAAATTTAGGTCTGCCTCATTACAGAGCCTGGGGATTTTCCTCCAAGAAATTCATCTTGAATTCCTCTATCTGTGGATTCCAAGTTAGGGTCACAGAGTATAGCTATTTTTCTCAAAGCCTTCTAAGTGCTCCCAAAATTGGGAAGTCCATGCAATGGAAATCCTGAGAACGGCAGACGGACCACAGCAACTGTGCATGGAGGCGAGGGAAACAGCATTTTGTAATAAAATTTGGAGAAATCTCCACATCTCTGGGAGGCACCGGCGGTCTGTGGTCCCCACATGGACCAGCCCTGCATCCCTTCTCCCCTTCCCAAACCCAAAACACAGACATAATAGGAAAGTCCGTCTGCAACCCCTCTGGGTCTGTGTGCAGGTAGGGTTTGGTCTTTAAAATCAAAATTAGTCAATGGAGAAGCAGTATTTTCTGAGAGAGGCATCTAAAAAGTGGGGAATTTCTCAAATGAAAAGGAAGCAGGCAGAGTTAAAAAAGTAAAGAACTCACTAAATATTTCCCCATTGGCATGAGCCAAAAATAGGTTGTAGCTAATATAGGTTAAAGAACTCACTTTACCATCGACAAGGCAACAGGTTTTTGGTTCTCAGCTTACCTGTTCTGTTCTTAGAAAACCTTCTCGCTTCTACCTCAAATGAGTTCACTTGGCACCTGTATCACTATGCGCTTCTAGGTAGCATTTGTCTCCGTTTGTATCTCGCTGTTTATCCGTGTGATAATGTGTTTAATATCTGTCTGTCCACTAGACTGTAAGCCCCCCGAGGGCAAGCACTGTCTCTCTTTCATATATCAATATATAGCAATGCCTGGCCCGGAACTTAAACACACTATATGCTTAATAACTGTTCATCAAAGAATAAATAAGCATACAGGCGTCACTAAAAATGACGGCTTCGTTCAGCGAGAGCAAAGACACAACCTAGAAAGGATATTGTCTCTTTTATTAATACTTCCTAATTGGTGATAGGGCCAGTCCTGCATTCTTCTTACTAGAGAAGTATGGATGAAAGTTTCAGCGGCAGGTCGGCTCTGATTCAGGATTAAAACCATTCACTTCTTTGTCTTTGACAAGCTTGTATCCAACACGAATCTTACATGGTGGCAAATCACACTGAAAGGGAAGAGGTGGTTTCTTTTGACTAGACAAGGACAAAATCAGTCTTAAATAATTGCATATGACAACTGTAACCAGCGCCTTTATTGTGTTATTCTTTGGCACTTAAGACCAGGTCAAGGTCAGAGCAAGTAAATAATAGAGGTATTAAATTAAGTTACCTGAACAGAATGTGAGATTTACCCCTCTCCACTCCCCTTCACCAACTTCCTAATAATTTGTCTTAGTTGACCAGAAACCAGTTCTGTTGCTACTATCTCACCAATGCTACATGAAAAATTCACTTAGTTCTATCTCTAGCAAAGTCAACAAGTGAATTCAGGAGTTTGTAAATGGATTATTGGTCTACTGCAAATACCAAATGGTGTCCTTTATTTTCCCTTTGCAGAAAAACACAAATTATCAGGATGCATAGCTTGGAGCATATAACACAAAACCCTTTCTGATGACATTTCACAGTGAACCAGTATTATCTGGGGACTTTCAGCAGTCAAGAACACCTTGGCTGATCATAATACAAATATATCCTCTTTTTTTTTTTTTTTGAGAGCTTTGAGTTACTCTTTTTCGGAAGTGGTGCCCAGCACTAATCTGTTGGAACAATTCACCGAAGCCTGCATTTATTGCTGGGAAAGGTAAGAAAAGCAGTAAGATCCTGCAAATGACATGGTTCATTTCTAGTAAGAGTTTGCCACTCCCGGAGGCTCCAAAATGTTAGATAGTTTCCCCTGCGATAAGATGCCAACAGGGCAACTCAGAACTCTGAAATTTAAATTGCCCATTCACTCTGGAGAAATTACCACTCTATAATCATGAAATGATTATTCCCTTTCTCTAGGTCTTAGATTTATCTGTTATCTGGGAGAACAGTATTGATTCACTCCACAGCTGTAAGCTAATAATGAAATACCAAAGCATCTGCATACAATTAAGGGAGTTTATTTCTGAACGATTAGTCTGAATCTTCAGTTAAAATCTGTTCACGTGTCTGCATTTCTTGAACTGCATTCTGAACAAGTTATCCCTTGTTAAGTTACTTCTTCCAAAAGATAATCATGTCTGATTTGTAATTAGGAAAATGAGATTTAGGATTTACAGTGTTTCTTTTGGAAAGATAATTTCATTTTTCTTTTTGGATGCTGATCTATTTACAATAAGGTTAACCCCAAAGCCCTTCTAACCAAGGGAAAATAAACAGACATTGTAGTTTGGTTTGAAAAACTTTCATTACAAAGCTAGTAGGACCATTTAAACCCCTGATAGGAGCCAGGCACTTTTGAAGGGCCCAAAGCATGGTATATTAGAACGTATTAAAATCCACTCATTTCATACATTCAATATAATTTGAAAGTTTCTCTGAAAGTTAAGTGGAGTTGAACTGCAGTGGAGTTGACTACATTTTCTAGATATTTGAACAGCTTTTCCTTCCATTTTTCCATTTTCTTTTCTTGTTTTGGAGCCAATAATTATTCAGGTCCCAAACATTTTCCAGTGGTCTTGAAAAGCTAGAGGTGGCAGACGCTGACTTTACCACACCCAGTGGATAAAACAGCTGTGCAAATTAGTTTCTGTTTTGCTGTTACTTTTGCAGTCAGATAAGTTGTCAACTGAGTTCTGAACTCTGTTTTTTTTTTTTAGTTCATTAAAAAGAATCACATGACTAGAAATTTTCAGTAAGTCAGCTTGTCTGTATGACATCCTGGGAAGAACTGATCTCTTAGAGATATAAACCCTGAATGTTTTAATATCCGTTAAAAATTGTTTTTCAATGTCAATTTGGACAGAAAGTTGTTGTTTTTCTGAGTAAAAATAGGGAAAACACAGATTTATGTGAAAAATGGTTCCAATTCAATGGCATATTGGCATTTTGCTACCCAAACACAACTAAATGCTCTAATTCCCAAATGAGAGAATGTCAAGCACAACTTAAGCTTGTAGTACATACAAAGTTCCAAACCTGATCCTAAGGTTTCTCTACTTGCACTGATTGGTTCTGCAAGAATTCTGGTGTAATCAAAGCAGATTCAGCTTTTTGCTCAGTTAATCAAACAAGCATCGTGCCTTTGGCTAAGAGCAATTGCCTCATCAAGTCTGCAAGCTTTTCCAGGCAAACCCCAAATTTCAGCCGGACTTCCACTGAAGGTCTGGGATAATAGATTCAAAGCGCCTTTGTTCATACACTTGGAGACCAACACTGCCCAACAACTCATCCGAGGTCTGCCTCTGAATATCCAGAATCACGGGGCCTGGCATTTTCTGTTGAAGATCATTTGCTTTACTAAAAACAAACAAAACACACAAAACCCTGTGCATAAGGCAGATTTTACAAATTGTTACAAAGCTTTGATCTACAGTTTTGGAGGTACAGAATGCCTGGCAATAAATTAAGTCTCTAAAGCTCTGGATCACACCATCAGGATGAGCCTCAATTCACGGGATGAACAAGAGGAATGTTGCTTTTAAACTAGCCCAGTGGTGAGAGGCCTTACTGGAGAAGAGACAAAAATAGGAGAATGGAGGGGCAGACAGGTCTGAATCTCATCCCGCACTTCCAGTTCGTACAAGGAGACCATTATAAAGGCGCGGGAAAGAAATCCTTATCACGGTGTTTGTTGGTAATGGAGGGCAGGGGGTGAAGCCTGGGAGGAAGAGATAGCAAATGGCCTCCCATTATTCATTCACTCACTCATTCGTTCATTCATTCATTCAACAAACATTCTGTCACCTACTCGGTTCGGTTCCAAGGCCCTGGTCAAGCAGTTGGTTTAACTGTTCCCTTAAGGATGTGACTTTCCGTCTTTACCAGGGGCAAAGGCCCATTTCACTCCTGGGGAGGCCTTTCTGCCCCTCCGTGGGAGCCCCAGCCGCCACTCCCAGAGGGTCCACGGCCAACCAGTGCCCTCTCCACCCACGAGAGCACAAGTCCGCGTCCCTGGGAGCCCGGGCCTCAGCGCCCACCGCGCGGGACCCCGCGGGAGGGGCGGCCCTGGGCCGGCAGGAGGGGAGGCCGGCCCTGCGCCCGGGGCCCTGCGCCCGCCCCTCCCCGCCCCGGCCCCTGGCCGCCGGGTCAGCGCGCCGTCCCCGCCTTACCAGAGTTTTGGCTACGTTCCCCCTCTGGGTGATGTTCTTGCTGTGCTTCTCGTTGGCCATCCGGATCCGCTGTTTGGCCACCATGGCTTGGGCGCTAGGAAATGCTCTCGGCTCCCACCTGCAAGGATGCCCCGCGTGAGCCCCCGACCGGGCCGAGCGCGTCCCGCCCGCCCCGGGCGCTGCAGGTGGCAAGGCGCGGCCCCCGAGCCCCGCACACCCCGCTCCCCAGCCCCCAACGAGCCGGCTCCAGAGAGAGGCCAGAGCCCGGACGGAAGTAATCTTTCATCTCAGGAAACCCTCTCCTACTTCCTCGCCATCCTTCCGGTCCCCCCAGCTGCCTAACCAGCGCGGCCGCGAGGCGGGCGCTGCGGCGCTGCCTCCCCGCAGCCGGGCGGCCGGAGCGCAGCGCGCCGAGCCGCTCGGGCCCTCGGGCCCCCGGAATGTCAGCGTCCAGCGACCAAACGCGGCGGGGCCGAGGGTTCGGGCGACCGCGGGCTTTGCGCGCGCATAGCAGGCGGGGCTCCTGGGCCCAGGACCCATCGAGGCCCAGTCTCCCCCGCCCCGCTGCTCTCTGGCCGAGGACTAGGGTGGAGGCGGTGGCCCAGGATCCTCGAAAGACAAGTCAAATCAGACAGGCTGGGCCCGCGCTGGTTGGGGGACAGTCCGAAGGAGCCTCCCCTTCGGGGGTCTAGGGAAGGGCCTGTGCGAGGAAAGCCCACTCACGGAGGGAGCTTTCTCAGATGCTGCAGGAAGGGCTAGATCTCCCCAGGGATGGAGGTGGGGAGGTGAGGATGGATTGGGGATAGGCCTTCCTGCCTTGCTGATTGTGGGGCTTTCAAGGAAGACAGGCTGGCAACACTTGAGAGTGAAAAGAGGAGGAAGGCCTGAGGCCTGCTGCCCAGGTAGGATCTGGTGGTCACTGCCCAGAGGTGGGTAGCTTTGACCAGGTTTGGCTCCCCACCCACCTAGGGCAGCTAGGATCTCCTCCAGCCACCCTTGTCCCCCGGAGTCTGAACTGGGAGTTTCCCTGCAGTACAGGGATAAAAATGGAAGTTTCTCTGATCACAAGCGTTGGTACCGGGGCCCTACACATTGCCCAGTGAGGGAGCAGGGGAAAGAAGGGCTTAGTCCCTCATGTTTCTGTGTGCTGAATGGACTGGAGTCAGCTCTTAGAAGACCAGGAGAGTTGAGAAGAAGAGGGGAAACTTCAGCCTGGAAGATCTGGGGCAGTGGGATATGGTGGGGAAAAGAGCTGCGAGTTAGACCAGCTTTGGCTAATGTACTCCAGTCCTCCCCTTGCGGGCATCTGTGGCTGGGTTTCTACAGGGTTTTATGGGGTGAAATTCCCCTGTGTCAGTGGGAGGTTAGGGAGAGCGCCTTCTCTCTTTTGGGGACACTTTGCCAAGCTCATCTTATGCTGCTCCCCATTTCTTGTCATTCAAACTGCAATATAGACTGTTTGGGGGCTGCTTTTGGTTACCCAGGAGAAGTCAGAAGCTACCTGGCATCATTAGGAAAGTCTGGTCATTTCTTTTTCTTCTCTAAAGTTCAGTTGAGTTTCCAAACTAGTTTCCATCCGTTTCAAAATTACCAACACCCCCACCATTATTACAGGACTGCAAACCAGCAGGCCCACCCACCTCTAGGCCGTGCTGTTAGTACCAGCTGACTTCTTGGTGGGAAGGGACGAGAGGGCTGTCCCTCCCCCAGTGACATTGCTGAGCCTGGCTGTGGTGTGAGACCCAGAAGGTGCCTCTCCGTAACTCCCCTCACTCAGATCTGGTCCAAATACCTGGAGAGGAGGCAGAAGGTAGGTCCAGCCTGAGCTGAGTGCAGACCTGGCTCTGAGGAATATTAGGGAAAAGATACTGAGAAGGGTTTCCCTTCAGGCCTGCAAGCAGGTAAGTGTTACCATGAACAGAAGCCTGCCTTCCCAGAGGTTCAGGTGAGCTGCCTCGTTTAGGAAAAAATTATTTTTTGACCGCTGACTCCTGCTTGATACTGGCTAATTTTTCTCCTTTTTCTTGCCATGCTTCACTTTTACAACATTTTAAGTTAGTTTGTTTTAATTATGGACGGCGTACTCCCAGGAGACATTCAAAGAAATAGGATATAAAGTGAAAAGCAAAGATTCCATTTCCTTGCCCTCCCTCCCTAATTCCCACTGTTTCTCGGTGACCCTTCTGGTATTTTTCACTCATATATAAGCCAACTTGTGTATTCCCTTTTTAAAAGCAAGCAGAACTGTACTACACACACTGTTCTGCCACTTGTATTTCTCATTTATTACAATATGATCACATCTACTCACTTCTTTTTTAATAGGTACATAATATCCCACTGTATGATTTGTGTGTGTGGTTGCTGACAATGCTTTAGTGAACATCCTTGTCTATAGATCTTTACACACTTCTGCAAATGTATATGTCCACCTTTTCATGTCTTTGGTGGAATTACTTCTTCCGTTTTGGTGAGGCAATCTGCTGTGACCTCCACTTTATGCGTCCATAGCCCCCTTTGCACACTGCAAGTCTCAGGCCTGTTTATTGCCTAGATCATCACCAATATTAAGTACGAAGAGTTTGCCCTTCCAGCGTGGATCTTGTCCCTTCCTTTCCTTAGCCCCCTAGCCCACCCTAAACCAGAAGTTGAACTGGCTCATCCCAGAAGCCCTTTTGCAGGGGAGCTGGGGCCAAGGTCGGAAGCTGTGTCCCTGGAGTCCTGGAGTAACCACTGGGCTACAAGGGAGCAAGGCCTGGAGTCATCTTGCCTTTTTGAGGGGGGCAGTATTGAAGAGGGGAATGGGAACTCCATCAAGAGTAGGAAGTTCCTTGGAGTTAACTGTGCTGGCAGTAGGAATTTTATGACCTACCAGTAGCATGCTATTCTCAACCACAACTTCTGAAATTGCCTTGGGTAACCAATCAGGAAACTGCTAACTGATTAAAATTTAATTTGGGCTGGTAATTTTTTCAGCTTCAGAGCAAGAATTCATAACAAGCCCGTGTACATCAATCATGAGTCTGCCCCATTTAGGGCACTGCATTTATGACTGTAGAGACTAGGTTTTACCCATCTTTATAAATGATGGATGATTGAAGCTCACTGATGTGACACTCTTGAGCTGTGATGTAGTAGACACTGTCACTTTTCTGTGACTGACCAGCCTGCAAACCTGGTTTTTTTTCTGGGGGGACTCCCCCACTGTGTGAATCTTAGGACTTCCTTTCCCACTATGGGAGCCCAGTGGGGCCTTGGTCTCCCAACCACTGGCAGGTAGGGCGGGAGTGTGTGACCCAGCTTGGCCAATCAGATACTCCTGTTTGGAACTTTGAATCTTGAGCAGGCAGTGCACAGACAGAGGGATGGAGTTAAACTTCACCCTAGGGGTGGGGTCTCCAAGACACAGGCAGGGTCTAGCAGTGTTGGTGGGGGTGTTGGGACCAGTGGCAGTATTCCACTTATTTGATAGTATCTGCATTCCTTACAATACATTCTTCTCCTGCTTCCACCGGCCAGAGTTTATATATGTGGTTCACAGCCAAGAACCCTGATGAATGTCCATGATAAAACCAAAAATCCAGAATGTCCTCCTTGGTCATTCCCCTTTCTAGATCTAGAATGACAGTCGTCTCACTTGAAGTTTTCAGATGTTGTCAGCCAGTGGCCTCTCTTTGACTTAACTCATCAAGAGAGCCTGAGTGTAGAGGCCTTGGTGACAGGTGCTGGGGGTGACCAGTTCTGGATTACGAATGAGAGTGATTGACAGGTACACTGTGCATAAATAAAACCAGCGGATCACAGACTCTTCAAATTCGTATTTTCAGTTTCTTCCTCATCCAAACCATTCTGAGCACAGCTCGAGAGGAGGCAAATTTGGCAGATCTCAGCATCATCTCCCTCTGCACATAGGACTTATGTTCCAGTGGAAATGTTCATGATGATGTCTCAACAGTAGGCAGAGACAAGTAAGAGAGCTGACAGCCAGCGTTACCTGCTGCATGCGATAGAATCAACTCAATGCACTCAGTTATGATTTTATAGAATCATGTCACATTGTAACTGGAAGGAAACTCAGTCATTCGTTTGGTGTTTATTGAGTATCTACTATTTGCCAGACACTATTTTCAACCCTGAGAATTCAATGATTGATACAAGAGTTTGTGCCTTTAGAAAGCTCTCACTAGTATGGGGGAGACAAGGAAGTAAACATTGGGAGACTGCCCTAGTTTCTCAAATGAGCAAAAGTCTTGGATTTGCAAAGGGAGTTGTAGCAGAGCTGAAAGCAGAATTGAGGCCTCTTGGCTTCCCATTTTCTCGAAAGAAACATTCACTAGGTAAACTTGAATGGGAGCCAGGGTGCAGCTTTGGGAGATCTGGAACAACCTCTACATGCACAAAAAATAAATCACACACACACACAAGCATACACACCCGCATGTATCCTGCAGAACAAAGATAAACGATGTTCTAGACCTCTAAGTCTTGAACTTTGGTCCGTAAATGGTGGCACAAGACAGACTTTAACCATTACGATAACAATGTCATTCCCTGACCCTAGAGGTGATCAGATTAAGCTTTAAAATGCAAGATGTGATTACCCATCTCCAGTCTGTAATTGCCTGGCCACAGCTGTTATTAATAGCAGTAAAACCCTCATATCCCAGGGCGGGGGAAGAATCATCCTCTGGCACAGTGCTTTCCTTAATGACGTCCCATGGCAGTCCACTCACGGCTGAATAGAGGTGAGATGCTTCCACATGTTTGAACTCCAGCTGTGGCTGTGTACCACACTCCTGACCCTGCAATTCCAACGGTGCTTTCAGGACAAAGCCACCTTGTTTCTGTTCAGCCGGGTGCATGTTTTTAATGGCTGGGAGAGTTTCCTGGTAGGGAAGAAATAACATCAGTAATAATATCTAACATTTCCTAAGCACTTCCTGAGGGCCAGATGCAGCTAAATACTTCACCTGCACTTTCTCACTTCTTACACAACCCTCTAAGCACATGGATTCTGGGAACAGACAAATCCCAGTCCCTCTACTTAACAGTTTGGTGACCTAAGTCTCTCTTCTCATCTTTAAAGTGGGGATATGGCAATAATGCTTATTAGAGTTGTTTTGGGAGTAGATGAAATTATTCATGTTGAAAACACTAAACACAGAGCATGGACCCATGGTCATTAGTTAGTAAATGTCAGCCCCCAGTGTCATTACTCTGTACACCACTGAGGAAATTGGTTTGCAGAAGTTAAGGAACTTGCCTAAGGATGGTCAAGACAATG